CCCCGTTTGTGGGGGGTGGAATTGGGGGAGGGGGGCGGAGGGGAAACCCCCCCCCTTCAACCCCCCTCCGGAAATAAAATAAAGCGGAAAAGGGAGGAAATAAAATAAAATATGGGGGGAAAATAATGGGGGGAAGGAAAGGGATGAACGGAACGCAGTGGGAGAATTGGATTAAAATAGAGAGGAAAGGAAATAAAAATGAAACGAGTGGAGTTGATGGAAGAAACGGGAACGGCTGGGATTAACGAAAGCAAATTAAAGGGGAGCCATAGGGATAAAAGAATTAAAAAGGGGAAAGGAGCTCAAAGGAACGAAGCGGGGATGGAGGAATAAAATGGGGTGAATGAATGGGATGGGAGCAAGGAATGAAGGAATGAAGGAAGGAATGAATGAATGGAAGGAATGAATGAATGAAGGAAGGAAGGAATGAATGAAGGAAGGAAGGAAGGAATGAATGAAGGAAGGAAGGAATGAATGAATGGAAGGAATGAATGAACTGAGGGAATTGAATGAATGAATGAATGAGGAAATGAATGAAAGGAAGGAAGGAAGGAATGAATGGAATGAGGGAAAATGAAGGCAGAAGAAAGGAAGGAAGGGAAGGGGAGAAAGGAAGGGAGGAAGGGATGAAGGAGAAACGAAGGACTGAAATGAATGGAAATGAAGGAAGGAAGAGGGGGGAAGGAATGGGAAAACGAACTGAAAGTCAACTGAAAGGGGATGGAAATGGGGCAGGAAGGGAATGAATGGAAGGGAGGAAAGGGGGAAAGGGAGTGAATGAAAGGAACGGAAAGAAGGAATGAATGGAAGGAGGGAAAGGGGGGGAATGGAGGAAAGAAAGGAATAAATGGGAGGAAAAAAAGGAGTGAATGGAAGGGAGGAAGGAATTGAAGGAAAGGAAGGAAGGAAAGGAAGAAAAGGAAGGAAGGAAAGGAAGGAAAGGAAGGAAAGGAAGGAAAGGAAGGAAGCAAAGCAACGAAGGAATGGAAGGAAAGGAAGGAATGAATCAAAGGAAGAAAAGGGCTCCAAAGCCCCCAGGGCCAGCAGTGGGACTCCAGCAAAAGATGAATGAAATGGAGTGGATCTGGG